TGCTGCCCGGTGAGTAGAGCCGCTGCGGGACCTAGCGGAGGTCTCGGCCGCGCTCCATACCCCGAGGGATGGGGCTTAACCGCGCCTGGGGGGCAGGGGAGAGGAAGGAGCGTGAGGAGAAACGATCGTGGCAGCGAGCACCTTCCCGCCGTGACGAGCAGCGCTGGGGAAGGGTGCAGCGTGGCTGTAACCCTCCGAAACCAGCGAGAGTAGCTGCGCTGGCTGCCCACCCCCCGTCACCTTACGGGTGCAACAAGGGAGCTCTGGTGGAGGGTGCCACGGTACATTTTGAAAGTTCGGCAGAAATGTGCAAGTGCGTTAAAAAGTTCGGAATTTAAAAATCGGACTGCAGCTTGCATGTGTAACCATACATTTCCTCACCCTCCTGTGCGGATTAGAGAGTTATCTCAAAGCACTTAGGTTACGAAGAGGTTTGAAAGCTAGGAACTGCTCCAGCAGAGGTTGCCTACAAGCCTAACTGGGTTATTCTGAAAGAATGAGTCCATCTGTGAATAAGGAATGATGTGAGGATGTAATTAAAGAACCCCTGCTTCACACCTGAGCAGAGCTGACTACTCCCTTTGCAAGTATTTATTTAATTTTTTTGTCTCCTATGACCTATTTATTAAACAGTATTAAAGACCAGCTGTAACAATTTACAGTCTGTTTCCTCACAGGTGCTCTTCAATATAGTACCTCAATGTACTTCTTGCTTTCACACTTCTGTGAAACAGTATCATCATCCTTTTTTCAGAGATGTAGGCGGGCTGACACAAAAAAGCATTCACTAACTTTAGATTCCCGTGGTGACACATTAGAACCCAAGTTTACTTGCAACTAAATTATTACTTCAACTACTCCAAGCCTGCTTCTCACCAAGTACTGCAGTGGTTTGGGTATTTAGCAGGCTGAGTGCATCCTGTTAGTAAACAGCGACAGACGTTGTTTTAATGTGATTAACCTGATGCTGAACCTTTGTGACAGCTGTGGGGATAAACCCCAGTTTTCCAGAATAGCCTTCAGCTGTCTTTAATTAAAGAGCTGCTCTTGTCTTCTTGCACTTTTTTATACATTACCACGCAGCTTGCAAATTCACCAAACCAACTCTTGCAAATAGGAGGGTGCTAAGGACAAGAGCCTCAACTCATTCTTACAGCAGATTCAGTGCAGAGAGGGAAGCAGGGTCTGGGGGTGGGAAAAGGCAATCGCGTGATTAAAGACCATAGGTGCTTGCATAATGGGGCCACCTTAAGGTCCCACCAAGCTCACTGCCCCAGTTCTGCTTTCTGACCATAGTGTGCTCCTGTTATTCCTCCTGCATCTTGATCATCCTTCAGACTTGGTGCTTTGCACAGCACAGACGTCACCGAGAGCATTAAGGAAAGCACAGAGAGGCCGTTTCTCTGCCCCTGCCAGCCCAGAGCGATCACTGCAGAGCCTGGCTGCGGTCGGAGCACTCCGAGTCAGGCGTCACTGTCACCCACTCCACGGGCAGTGAGGAGAGGGGAAATGCCACTTACCTGTTTCTCAGTGCTTGGTTCACAGTATCAAAACAAGCAAATTTATTCTCTTAAAAAATTGACATGTGACCACGGTTTTTGGGGGCAGTGATCTCGGCAACAAGTTGAAGCAAGAAAGGCTGTTCCTGATGGCTTATGAAAACAGAGGGGGAAAATCTAAGCAAAAAAAAAAAAAAAAGTTTTTATAATGCATACAGATCAAAGGTTTCCACTTCTGGCAAGATCTTGGAGATGCATCGGCAAGTTTGCCTGTTCCCAGCTTCTGAGCTACTGGAGCTCTATGACTGTCCAAAGGGAGCATCACTATAGGAAATCATACACATATTTAACATGAAAAAATGATTCTGTAGCTTCAGTCTTTGAAAGAATGGCTTAACATTAAAAACACACAAAACATCATAGGCTGTATTAGATGCTAATGATGACATTCATTATGTATCATAATTATGCAAAGCTGTGCATCTTAATGTAATTATGTATCTGCAGAAATAGTTATGTTTGCATTGTGCCCATTTCAAAGAGAAAAGTTATGGGAAATATGACCTTCCACAAAAAAAAAAATCATGTGTTTCTAAAACGTTGGGTTTTTTTTTCCTCTATGCATGTGGAAATTTAAGGGACTAAATTTTTAAATATTGAAAGCTACTCAGAAAACTAGGAAAAAAGGAGAGCAGGAAGGTATAGTGGAAAACGGCTTGCAAAGACTTAATATTACACAGCACTTAGCACAATCTGAACTCTCAAGAGCTTACAGACAACGAACCACGGCAGAATGGTGAAGTTCAAACTCTCTAAACATGGCAGGGCTCCAACTTGGGCAACAGGAATTGCAGTTTTAAAATCAAGCCCAACCCAAATATAACGTGATAACTTACTGCTACTTTCTCTCTGTCTGTCTTTAGTGTTTCCCTAATTTCAGCAATCAGAAAGTCACCTCACAGCTTTTGATCTCTGTGGCTTAGCCACCTCAGTCACAAAGACAACTGCACAGAGGTGTCTGGAGGTTTGCATTTCCCCTTCTGTTCTTTTATGGTGCTTGAAGTAGCCTTAGGATTGGCATCCCCACCATGGAGGACCTGTCCGTTCAAATGTAAAGCGTTGCATTCTACAAAATAACGCCACGAGAAAAATGGCATGTTATGAAAAGGAGAAAATACCACACCACTTGGGCATCTGATGTGAGCAGATGAGGCCCCAGACCCCAGGACACACGCCAGCCCGTGCCAGTCAGGAGTGGAAAAGACTGCGGTTTGCCCTTGCAGCTGCCTTGCTGACAGGACACCACTGCAGCCACTCAGACGTTGGTCTGCCTTCTGCTCACTAGAGACTGCAGTAAAAAGGGACTGGGTTAAGCAGTGTGGCCCCAAAGCGTCAAAAAGAAAACGGTATTGTTTTCAGGTACTGACATTCATGATGAAAGTTTGAAAAGAAAACAAACCCCCAAACCCCAAACAAACCAACCCCAAACCAAAACAAAACCCACAACTCTTTTAATTCTGCATGTTTGATTCACTAAAAACTAAAGAGTTTTTCTTCTACAGTTTATAAAGGCACTTTTGGGGAAGTCCACTTTAGAAATCGAAGAGGAATTCTGGAATTGGCCGGAGCCATTAGATGCACCACAGGACGATCTCCGTTCGCCTACCTACGCTATGGATGCTACTGTGGTCTGGGAGGAAGAGGATGGCCCAAGGACAGAGTAGACTGGTAAGAGTAACAGTTCACCTGAGTAATTAAGTGCTGAATGTGTGCAGAGAACAGCAAGAGGACTGAAATACGAACCAGGCCTATTTAACATCAGTGAGGGATCCGAGTTTAAATACCTCGGGCTGCTAAGAAATTCGGCCGCGTTACAGTTGTGTTACCGTAGGTGTACGCGAGTCCTGCTCTCGTTGCGTTAATACTGCTGTTGCTGTGTGGCCAAGAGCTGAAGAACTAAAGTCTTCCTGGAGAAGCTTTAAAGCTCAAACATTCAAGCTATCTATAAAAGTAAAAATTAAAAAAAAAAAAATTAAAAAATTACAATTGAAAAATCTTTTCATTTCCCTACCACCCATCCCATTTTACTGGTACTCAAAATAATGCATGGAAAACTTCTGTAAAATTCAACCTGCTGAAAAATAATTTAGTAAAAGGTATTATGAGTTGTTACTAAAATAAACCAGACCTTTGTGCTTAGTACTAAATCCAGCATACCGACTGCCATCAGTTTAATTTACAGTCCAACACTGGTTGACTAAAAGATGGTTTTCTCATTACAGTAGTTAAAGAAAGGTTTGTATTTTCAGGTTTATCATTATGATACATTTCCTCACTGTATGTGACATCTCAAGTTCTGAGTTACCAGATACGTTGTAAATTAAGAGGAAAACAAACACCTGATCCTCATATTTAGGGCAGAATATACGGGAAGTTCAAATCCGGTGGGTTTGGGTTTTTTCCCATAAAGATTCCAGTCGTGATTAGACCCAAAACTTGTCAAATCTTTGCCCACATATTTCAAGTTTCTGTTATTTTGTAGACGATTTTGTAGGATGTAGCTGCTACTTCAGTGACTGGGAACACATACAAAAGAAGGGACTGTTACCGTCCTGGTCAGCGTGTACCAAAGATAACGCTGGACAATCTGCAGTTGGCTCGTCAGCCACTGCAGACCATTTTCCATGTGAAAGCCCCACTGTAGCAAGAAGCTGCTTCTTCACGCAGCATGGGCAGCTCTCTGTGCTCTGGGTTTGATGGCTACAGAACGAGGACGATGAGCCAGAACCGAGCGACCTCACTGCTGCGTTTGAACAGAACCAAGAATTGCACCAACTGAACGTGGGGACAAATGTTCCCACCACGTCTTATTTCTTGAAGTTTTGAACTACACTGTGCTCTGTTTGCATGCAGAATTATGCCTGAAAACCATCCGAGTGACAATACAGAAACACTGCATCTGAAGCAAGAACATCTGTAATGGAATTGTGCAAACGTTACTGCACGTTAGATTTCTGCTTGCCACTTACAAACTCCAAAACAGACAATCGCACGTTGCTTTCGTAAGATCAAATACAAAATCCTTAAGGATCTGTTTTTATTTAAAATGCTTAAAGGAGGACAAAAGTAATTCTAACCATTTTTGTGAACATATGAAGATAAACTGCACTGTAGCAAAAGCAGCCATATTTCCTGGTTTATTTACCTTAGTACTGCTACAAAGACTTCTTGTTTTTATTATTATTGCTGTGCACTTAATGAACATGCTGAGTTACTGCAGTCATTTGCTGCTCAGCTGTTACGAACTGCAGGATCTGTGAATCGCGATTCATGTGGAATTACCACGCAATTATTTAATAAGCATGGCAACAAACAGTAATAGCAAGAGAGCACTCACAGCGTTAACTTTTTGTATTGCAGACACATCCCTCAGGCAATCTAAACACCACCTAAACACCATGTGCCTACTGTAGTATAATGGGTTTAGGCTACCGGGAGGGAAATGACTGACTGAATGCGAAGAGCTTGTGGATACACCCTGTTCTCCTACCGAGTCAAGGGAGCAAAAACTTACAAGCTGTCTAAATTCAGGCCCTTGTTACGTCCCTTGCTTGCAAGAACTGTACCAGAAGAGTAATTCTTTTTTTAAGTCTTAAAATACGCCATTAACGCTTACCTGTACTGCTCAGTTGCACAGTGTGATAGAAAGTCTGTGAACTCATCATTCCAGTTCTGACAAGAACAATCTTGAAATCGTAATTTGGGGCAATTTTCCCATGATACTGAGCAAACAGTTTTAGTTGTATTATGGCATTAGACACCGCCTGTGCCTATTCGTTACTGAACATTTCCCCCGCTCTCAGCTTTTCTGCCACCATCTAAAGACTCTGCTATGAGATGACATTGATGACAGCAAGCTACAGCCTAACAATTCTCCTTGTCCCTTCCCTGCCGGTAACTCTTGCAATAGCATCAATAACTGGCAGAAAAATATATCCTTCATTATCTGACAAACTATTTTGGCGTTTAATCGTTTTCTTGGAAGGGGCTGAGAGAGAGGCATAGTTACAGAAAAGTTTATTGTGTTTAAAACTGAGAATGCTTTAAAAGATTCCTCGTATTTTCATCTCGGAGGAAGTTCAGCTATATCAATGTGTGTCAGACGTTTTCCCCATCACTCATTACATGAAAGAGGAGTATTTTTTTCCAGGTGACCTATTAAACAGTTACCCTGTTTTGATTCCTGAGCAGGTAACAGTTTTACATTCACCTATGTTGAGTGTTTTATTATTTCACAAGCTGTAGATAAAACCCATCCAGATTGTGTGACCATAATCCCTGCAGTATGAATTAAGGCTGGCCCATTTCCGTTCCCCTCAGGTGCTGCTTTAACCATGACTGCTGCTATGGGCTGGCAGAACAAGCAGGCTGTCACCCCAAGACAGAAAGCTACTACTGGGAATGTGAAGACCGTACTCCAGTGTGTGGTGAGCAAACACTTCTAGTTGGGGGTTTTTTGGTGTCTGTCTTTGGTTTTTACTTCTACTGATTGTCTCATTGACTTCAGAGAAAGACATTTTCCTAATTAACTTCATTATTTCACCATCCTACCTTTTGTGACTTTTTTGCCAGGGTAAGCTGTGGGGTTTTTGTTTGTTTGTTTAGGTTTGTTTGGGGTTTTTGTGGTTTGCTTTTTTATTTTAAATCCTCTCATGTTGTTTATGCTACTTGTGCTACCGAGTTCTATGGGTAGCCAGTTCCAGTGTCAACATATATACATTAACAACACTTCCATTTCATAGCAGAATTGGAGTTCATTCACAAAACTGAACACCTCTTCTGCTCCGAGATAAATCTCAAGCAAAGATTTGGCTAAGCTTTTAAAACGTTCAAATTCTCAGAAAAAAATCTAATCGAGGATTCTTTGGTTTACAGCCAGTTGCAGAGGAAAAAACCACACATTTCTGGGTTGGCACAATGAACCCAAAGATACATTGATGTAGAAGCAAATGTTCATGCCAAGAAGAAACATTCATGCCAAGCAATCTGTTAAGTTACAACACTACAATTGTAAAACAAATATGGCCAGATATAGATTTTACCCAACTGAAGCACACTTTACCTAACTTCTTACTGAATGCCTTAATAAAAAAAGGTGGTGATTTACTCTGAACATGGAACATCTTTGCATCCCTTATTTCACGTACATAATTGTAATGCTACCTGGGAATTAGTACATTAAAGCGTATGTGAAATGGAAAATATATTCCCAAACTCAAGTTTCACTGGAGCAACAGGGTGGGCAGGGAAGATCACATCCCACCTTGTGAAGAGGAATCAGTTATCAGAGTTCCTTTATTAAAGAACATGAAGAAGGGTATTTAAATATTTATCAAACTGTTATATTTTCACCTGCCAAGACAGTTCCACTGATTGTCAGTTGTCACTAAACCAAACCACGCTTGTGTATCCTCTCTTGCTGCAATGTCCTAGCATGGAGCTCTGCCTAAAGAACACAAAGGAACAAGTCTTGCTAAAGCTCAGTACGTTTCCTATTGCACTTGAAATAGAAGAGCCATTTATATGGCAAACATGAAACGTGAGGGAGCAATTCTTGGTATTCCACTTGGTACTGTTACTGACTTCAGACTAACATCAAACTTACTGTGTTTTCTTTCAGAATCACTAGAAGACAAATGTCAAAAAATGGCATGTGAATGTGACCGCGAAGCTGCCAAGTGTTTTTCTAAAGCTCCATATCACACAAAATACCTTTTGTGGCCAGACTTCATGTGTGGTCAGATTCAGCCTTTGTGTAGGCATTAGAGGCAGAACATCAATCTTTATGAAGACTCTGTATGTGTTTAAATCTACTTCTTTTTTTTTGTCACAGTAGTGACAATAAGTGATCCTCTCCTTTCTTGAGCCTCCTTCCTGCCACCTCAGCCTCTCCACCCCACAATGGCCAAAGTAAACATTTATTTTCTTATTTACCTTCTACAGTGCATGGACTAAAAGCAAGTTCATTAGTTCTGTGTAAGCTTTTATTGACTAAATAGGAATTTGAGTTTATCAGCTTAAGGAGTAAGTGATTTAAAATAATTTAGTTTATATTCAGATTCATAATATAATTCACTGTAAGCTTTTCATCCCTGCTCTGCTGGATATAATGAAACTTTTCCACCACCACCGTTAACATTTGTGAACTTTGAATTGACTGGAAGAAATGCATGAAGTGACAGTGTCAGCAAAAAGAGCCCTCTCATCTATATTAAACAGTTACTCTGAAGCCTAATTTAACTTTTGCATCTAATTCACCTTAAGTAGTCCTACTTGTATTAAAAAAATGCCTAATAATTGTTCTTTCTAGTATTTAGTTTTTAAATACTGTTTTCTAAGAAGTTCACTTGATATGGCTCAAGCTCCTTACTCGATGTACACCTTGAGTTTCCTCTGGGCACGGGGGTAAGTTCTGCCCTTCAGAGCCAGACTTAAAAGTGCAAACGCAAACCAGCACCAAAACAGGTACATGAAAAAAGTAGCAGTCAGTGGGACCAACTGCCTTTCCCAGAAGTATTTGAGCTTGGACAGCAAGCATTTGCAAAGTTCAGAAGTATATACCTCATAAGGAAGTAAAGATGGTTTTAGCTTGGGCCACTCCATAGTTATTTGAAACCTTTTAGGAAGGGAAGACAGTAACTTCAATTGCTGAATAATACACTTCTTCATAACTGCTAACTGTAACAGCTTAAGAACCAGGAGTGGTTTAGGTCTGCTTTCATCCACCTCAACTTCTTGAAAGATGCAGAGCTACAAAGCAAGTTTGCACAAGTCAAAGCGAATGGCAAGTATTTCAGTGTAAGAAAAACCAAACCAAAGTAATAGCATTTCTTTAGGAAGGATGAAGATTTCAAAAGAGATCTTTAATCTTTAAAAATATTCATAGGCAAATTTAAAGTTCACATTAATTAGACAAATACAAAAAAAATTAAACCAATGTAGAACGCAAGGTGACAAAGCCCTTGAAAAGTAACTTTTGCTCCAGTCAAAAAACCATCAACAACTGGCAATCCCGTTTACACAAAGTAACTTTCCAGTCACTATTCGCTCACAGATCACAGGTACACGCATTGCATTGCAGTGAGATGTAATTACAGTGTCAGGTCACTTTTCCAAAATAATCCATTTTAAGAGATAACCCTGAATTTAAGAATTAGCAACAGACTTCAAGAGGAGGGCATTAAAGAACCTACTGATGCTGAATAAAAAATGTTGAATGGCAATGGCCACATTTTCCATAAGACAAGAAAACTCAAGCAGTCAACAGCAAAATAGCACAGACCCTCCTGTGAGACTCCGTATTTGACAGTCACGACTTCACATGTAAAAAAGGCTGAAAATATTGAATTACTTTCAGTACCAAACCTATCATGGAAGAGCTTTCCTTTGGTAAACTGAAGTTGAGGAACACATTGCTGGTATGAAATGCCAAGTTAAAAAATAAAAAGGTAACAAAAAACCATGAAAATCGGCACAGCTGTTCAGAAGACACTGATTTTAAGGCAGGCTTGAAAATAACCAGAATGCTCGAGACAGGATAGAGAAGTCTGATTTGATTAAAAAAATCGGGTGATAAGACTCTGTAAGTTTTATGTGGCTAAATCAGGAATGTAGTTGTTTTTTTTTCCAGTAGAAAATTGCTTTCAGATAATAAAGCCCATCCTCAGATTTGGAATCAGCTGGTTTAGGAGTAACTTACCTTAAGGCTTTTGTGCATCTTAAAGTTAACATAATCCACCAGTTTCACTGCCACGTATATAAAGAAGAGTAAAGCTTATTTCAAATGTCCACTTTTAGAAGCTAAACAGCTCAAAAGTTCCAATGCAAGTCACGGCACTTGTGTCTCCAGACGCCTTACTTCTTTAACCACAAGATCAATGTTTATGATCGGGTTAAAATACAAGGCCCAGTAAAACAAACAATTGCAGACAAATTGAGGAATAAAAGGCCAAAAAATGGCAACAAAAAGACCCCGGGTTGAGACTTTCCAGAGGTGTCTCCGCATTCTCTGAGGAATAGTCCTGTGAAAAAGCAAAGGAAGAGGCTTAAGAGGAACCTTCCGTTTTGTTTTCAACCATTCTAAGAAAAGCTGGTATGTGCTGCAGCCTCAAATTATTTAGCCCTTACTCAGGTAAAACATCATTTGCACTACAGAAAAACTTTCTTAAAATACAGTAATACTAGATTTTATATCAGGAAGCATTAAGTCAATTTATTGAGACCACAAAGCACAGCAAGTTACAGTGGTCAAATTCCAGATTTGTCGTAGGTTATTCCATGCCTGTTCTCTTCTGGACGTGCTCTGCCCCCTGCCTGCCAGCAGAGAAAATGAAAACCCAGGATACACCAAGAATTTCTCCTATGCAAGTCCCTAGAAGTATAAATAAAAGATCACAGCACTTACAAAGTAACATTAATATGTTTGAATTAAGGCTAAAGCAATAACTGAAAACAGCAATTTTGATCACCTACCAGAAACAGTAGCAGTGTAACTAAACTTATTAAATGATGAGTCCTCAGGATAAAGAATAACTATGTCATGAGCATATAATGACAAAATTCTTACACATTTATTTCTCAGCTGACAGCTCATACCAGTTACTATAACAGGCAGTTCTCAAGGTAAGAGTTAGTATTTGTCTGATGGTTAAGAAAACACTTACGACCGTTCCTGCATTGGCTACATCTGATCAGCAGAACCAGCTGTAAGTTCCTTTTCAAGCATTCACAGCAATAAAGATACTCCACAGTAAGTACCAGTGTATGTGTGGATTCAGATTCACATGTTCTTATTAACTTCAGAGTTACGGTTAAACAGTGTCATTTAAGTGAGCAACTGTGAAGTCGTAAAACTGCTACTTCCTATTTATAAGGCCATGTACTTCCTACCCTCTTCAACAAGCTCAGCAAGACTTACTTCATTTCTCTTCTTGACCAGAGCCTCCAAAAGGAGAGCAATTCCAGAACAGAGAGCAGCATGGCATTTACAATTATAAATCTTGATGTCCAGTAGTGCGCATCCAGCCAATCCCAAGCAAATTCAGCTATCAGCTGGTATGGCAAAAATAAATACTTCACAATGAATTCTCTCCACTGTTTCCAAGAAGGATCTTTAAGGTCCTGTAAAGTAGCATAAAAAGACTGTTAATCAATTTCCTATTAAACAGATGTAATACTGGCTTATTTCCACTACTCTTTTGTTGACTTTTTTTATTTAAATACATTGAAAGCATACTATACTTTCTGGTAGATACTACTACCATCCAGTAATTTCCATGAGCTGAAAATAAAACATCACAGGCAGCCGAACCTTATAATGCTATTTGTTAAAACACCGGTATTTTGAGTGAACAGCCTTTCTATAGCCATGTGAGCTTAAAAAAAATCAGTTTGACAAATTTAAAGCCTTAAAAGCCTTAAATCACTTACTAAGGGTCACCGGTGTGCACGTACAATAAAAATCAAGGAAATACCTTGCAGGACTTTTTTAAAAAAAGTTGTAAAGAGACGAAATGGTGAATACTTACATTGTGGTTTTATGCTACTACTCTTAAAACACTAATAACTAAAGCAAGTAGCATATTTAGTGTTTTGAACACTTACTAGTAGTTTTGTGACAAGATCTTCATACTTGTCTTCTTGCACAGGGCAAGTTGTGTGGATGAAAGGTAGGAAAGCTTCTGCGTAATCAAACAAATACAGGTATAACATACTGAGTCTTGGAGAACTCTTCAGTGCGTACAGAAGAAAAAGTGATTTTCCTAGATTTACTGCCTGAAAGGTATCAAATCATCAAGTTTCAAACAGCGAAGAAGATAAAAAGAAAGGGACATGGCAGTTCTTAGATTTTTCTGACAAAACATTTTTCAAAGGATTGTTTTTCAAATACAACAGTTCATTAAACAGAGCAGTTTTTACAAGGGTAGTTCTACTACCTTAACGCTCCTCCCGGCTTTAAATTCTTTTAAAGATATTATTTTAAAAACACTTAATAGACATGACAGACTTTATATAAAATTTACCTTATATTCCCAAAGGTTCTGGGGAGGTTTAACACCTAAAGTTTTCACACATTCCAGTTCTGCCATAATGGCTTTTCTGTGGTTACTGTTCTCTATACTGTAAGGCTCTTTGGTGAAATCCTCCTCTGTCAGTGTTAGAAGGAGTCTACAAAAGCAGAATTCAGAAGGTGAACAGTGCCTCTTCACCAAAAAGATATGTAATTGCTAATTTGTTCATCATACTGAAACAACAAGCTACTGATAGAGGGTATCACCCTTTTGGATTACATTCCACATCAAGTGTTCTGAATCAACTGTTTCTCAGAGCCTGGGTTTTAAATGTCCTTCTTTTCAAGTTTTCTCTTGTCTGCTTTCATGCAAATTTATCAGCTTGTTGGCTATTACTGAATACAGTTCTTCAGTACTTCACAGATCTAGTCTGGTCTCCTGAAATCAAACCTAGAGCTCTTGGGTGGAATGCAAGAATGCATAGAGCACACGTGTATTTTCACAAGAAAGAAAAGGTGGGAGGGGTGGATAACACATTAGTAGAATTTTACTTTCAGTATCATTTCAGTCAGCATTGTCAGCATTTTTAAAAGTTCTTAGAAAATTCTCAGTTACCTCACTTAGTTACCTCTACTGCTAAAGGTTTCAACTACAGCTGTTAAAACTTCCCCTGAATTTTATTCTGGTGCATCAACAGAATATTCCCACAATTTATGGAGTAAAGGACATTCATTTCACAAAACACCATCCCTAAGGAAAGCTATCCACTAGTCCAATCAAATGATAACTGTTCTTGACAATGAGGCCTCTCACCTTCCATTCACTTTCTCTGGTAAAAATCTGTCTTTATAGTGTGCAGCCCATGGGCCCAGCTGCTCTAGCCAAACTATCACTTCCTCAGCAGTCCATTTAGCAACAGGCTTGAGGACAAGAAGATCTTCTTTAAATTCTCTGCTCTTCCAGTGATACCGAAGTAGAACTACCTATATGTACATGGGGGGAAAAAAAAGGTAGATCCTTTACCTACAAAGGAAATAGATTAATGATACAAATAAACACGCATTAAGGAGCTTCACAGGTAGAATCTTCTGTTATACGTATCCTAGAATATTCAGGTTAAGAAAGCATCTTGAAGTTTTACCCAATTGGTCTAACTTCTGTTTGCTGTATGCTGCAGTTTTTAGTTCCTGACAGACAACTCTGAACGCTGCCGCCTTTACTCTGCTCAGCTTAAGCCTCTTCTTTGCTGATGATTTTTTTATATGCATGTAATTTAAGTATATTTGATTGCATGCTTAATGAAATAAATACAGAAAACCAACCAGATGAAACTTACTGCTACACAGGTCAGAGCTGTCAGAACGCCTAAGAAAAAACCTCCTCCTCGACGATTAATTCTTCCAGTGTTTGGCACTGCAGGGGCCTGGTCATTCCCATATTTTTGGAAGGTTGCTAAGCTGCGTGCTACATCACTGTTTTGTTGAATATCTTCTTTTCTTTGTTCAATGGCATCGGAAAATAGCTTTTCAATTACATCCCTAATGGACAAAATATTGGTCATTGTACTACAAACACTGAGGCTTAACGTTCTGAAAAGGGATTGCTAGATTTTTGCTTTCCAGCCTCTATGAAGGACTGTCATCTTTGAAAGCAAGAACACATCAGTTATAAAGTTAAATTTAAATCAATTACTTCCAAACATCTTCCTTACCTTCCCAAGATAGAGGAAGTTAAAACATCACATTATAAAAATCTTTATTTCTCATATAGAACTAGAATTGTGTGTGCTACTGGCAAACATTTTTGAATAATCAAGGCTAAGCAAAAGACAACATAAAAGCCTATCATCAATCCTATCATCTATTTATTCAAATATTATTAACCTACAATGAAGGATTACTAGCACAAGAACTCGTGGGTAACTCAAGACAGTAAATGGATATTTCTAGCTTTGTTCCGCAATAAGATCCCATTTCTTCCTATAAATGATTCCTATTACAGAAATAATTATGCAATTATCAGATATCATTCTAACTTAGAATTATTAGGAAACATCCAGCTGTATTAAAAGATGTAAATGTCTTAGTACTAAAAAAGGATCCCTCTTCTCCATAACCCAAAAAAATAAGAAGGGGGAAAAAACCCCTAAAACCGAAAACAAAGCCAACCAACCCACCCTTCAGTCCATGTAGGAAAATGTGCTCGAGCAGTTTAGTGCAAGCGCACAACATGATGACTTCATGATTTAAACATCCATGTGAAGTTCAATTACCAATAAACTAAGAAAATCTGCAGCTAACTCGAGAAACCAGAGCACTAATTCTGGCAGTTTTCGAACTCCAAAAACGGCACAGTACACCCACCTGAGGAGGATGTTGACTTTGGGGAATCCTTCCCATTTTTCTCTGCATTCAGGGCATTCGTTCTTCTTGGATGACACCCACCACAGGGCTAGGCAATGTCTACAGAAACTGTGCCCACAGTTGAGGGTGGTGGGATTGACCAGAATGTCGTAACAGCAGTGGCAAAGGAACTCGCTGACCGATATCTGCCGATCCAGCTCAGGAGCAGCACGCCGTGCAACTTTTGCCCTCTCCGTTTCACCTGGTGAAGTCTCATCTTCCATTTTCTTTTATGCCTTATGCAAACACAAAGCTCTCGCAGACCTTCAGACCAAATAAGGCATTACTTCTGCAAAGCGACAAGATGAACCTCATTAAGAAGAAAGTTACAGCCGCGGTTTAGACTTGCAAGCAGTATGACTTATCGTTGCAATTCTTTAGTCGCTCTGATGGTTTTCAACTTGTTCAGTAACTTAGCTCTCCCCAAAGTGTCATATGATCTTCAACAACATATTCATGGCAAACACACGCACTGCAAAAACCCAATCAAAACCAGATTCTAGATGTAAACAACCGGGCTCAGTCTCTCTACATTTTCTTATCCTGTGTTACATAGCACGTGAAAGTGAAACAAAAAAGGCAGTTACTATGACTCGTACTACTTTTGACAGTATCTTTAATTAAGGTTTTAGTAAAAGACACCAATCAAAAGAAATATTAGAAAATACCATCAGAGAATACAAAAATAAAACGTGGTATAACACAGTGATTCCATTTACTCCATCAGTATTCTTTCCAAGCATACGGAATAAAACATTACTAACAAAGGTCAATGCTATCCATTGCTCGGCAGTCTTTAAAAGAAAAAAACCATCCACAAAGTCATATGCTTCAGAATTATAAGGGACTGATCTGGAAAGATCTGCTTGCCATCTCAGTGAAGGACTGAGCTCCATAGTAACTTTACTGGTAATTACACTTTGCCAGTATTTCAGAAAATGCACAGATGAGTTTAAGATTGTTCCAATCTTACAAAATATATAACCTATTTGCTTGCTGTTCCTACTATATTCTCTCAGATGGCTCTATCTAATTTCTTAAGAAAAACACTGATCCAGATAATTTACTTATCAGCCATCATCTGTTAGAAGCTATCAACAACTGTACAATTTTCTCCTCAGGCACTAACAAACCAAAATATGCTTTATGCTCTCCACCACGTGGCTCCTGCTCACTACTAAGTTACCATCTCTCCATCCAGATCAAAGAAGTAAGTATGCAAGTTGGTAAAGAATAAAAAAAAATTAAAAATTACAAGCAGTACAGAATTACAAACCGATAGTGCAGCCAAGATCCTCGGAGTGCCTTTTCTCAGCAAAAGACAAAGATCATTGGCTTTCTAAAAGAGAAACCCGAAACATCACTTACAAGAGGAGAAATAAAAACAAGGTTTTGCACCCAAGAACATTCTTCTCGTTTCCCTGAAAGAGAGAGGCAACGGGACTGCTGTGGGTGCAGAACTATGTCAGCCCGCAGCCTGCAGCCAACGAGAGGCGGGTCAGAAGCAGAGGGCTCACCGGCTCCTCGCCCGCCTCC